CTCTCACAATCTCACTCTTTGAGACGCTCAACTCCGGTGGTCTATTCTTGGAGTGGTGATTCGGTTGTACTGGTGGAGTGGTGGAAGCCCTAGCCCCTATCGAGTGTGCAGTGGTGGTGACTGGTGTTTGTAGAAGTCATGCATTGTTCTCCAAGGAATATTTGGGAGAAACGAACTAAATCGCAAACCCTAGTGTTACATTTTTCATTTATTCATTTTATTGTGATATATGTCATATATAGTGTGAAATATTATTCGTGATATATATGGATATATGATTTATTTTGGTGGAAGTCGTGTGATTTATTGTGATATATCATTATACATTTATATTAATATATTGTGTATCCATATCTCCTAATTTTGGGAAATATGTGACTTTGTATATTAGCATCATTGTCTGATAATTTGAAGGTCTGATTATGAATTTATCATTTATGTTTATGTATGGATTGAGGAATCTTAAAGAATCTAATATTGTGATTTGTGTGGTTTATCTTTACGGATATATGGCTTTATGGCCATATGAAATGTTGATCACAAAATGATGAAAATATAATATGAATTTGTGATCTCAACGATTAAAATGCATGAATATATTGTGTGAAAGTTTATATGTTGTTATTGTTGGATACCATGACTATATGAAATGTTGATTACCAAAAAAAAAAAAAAAAAAAAAACTTCTGATTTTGTGATTCTGTGCTTAATATGCATGAATATATTTTGCGGAAGCTTATATGTTGTTATTATTGGAATAATATGACCATATGAAATGTTGATCACAAAAAATGATGAAAATATATTCTGGTTTCGTGATTCTATGCTTAGAATGCAAGAATATATTATGTGGAAGCTTACATGTTGTTATTGTTGGATAATATAGACATATGAAATGTTCATCACAAAAAAAAAAAAATGATGAAAATACCTTCTAATTTTGTGATTTTGTACTTATAATGCAAAAATATATTATATCGAAGTTTATATGTTGTTATTATTGTATAAAATAATAATACATTAATATGGCCATTTCAAATGGTAATCTGGTATATCACTCTCCCTTACTCATTTATTTCTTAGTTCTTTTCTGTTGGTAATGATGATGCTTCTACCTTTGTCTGAATCAAAGGATTTTGAGTTGGTATGTTGCTCATGAATTATGGGTTTTGTTCCAAAACGTACTCAAGTAGTAATGTGCCCCAATCTTATCTTGATGTAAAAGAATAAAAAATAAAAAATAAAAAATAACAATCTGAGCAATTTTTATTTTTATTTTTTTCTCAGCACACCTATAACTCCTAACACCATATATTTAACAAGTGTTATTTCACCCATTTGCACCTCTACCTTGTATGGGCCCTTTCTAGCTAGTTTCTACGAGTAGGGGAGTTTTTTGAATGGGATCCAAAAATGTGACAAACTGTGTGGGGATATAAACTAATAAACAGAAAATTTACTTCCACTTGTGTCTAAATTTGATTGGAGGATGAAACAAAGAAATGAATAAACATCATGGCCCCTTATAAAATTGAGCAATTAAAGTATGCCAAATCATAAGGAGTACAAAATGGGAGTATGAACAGATTTTTCCTAATAAACATAGGAAAACCAACATTCATGGGGTGTTTGGTTGGATGGAGTTGTAATTCTTTTCCTACTTTATTCCATTATATTGCAAAACAAATTACAGTGTTTTGTTGGAGGGAATTGCAATTTAATGCTTTTGGGAAATGAAAATATGGATGAAATGACAAAAATATCCTTAATGATTGTTATTTTTCCTATTACACAAGGATATTTTTTTTTTATATCAATTTTTTTTCTTCTTATTTCCAATAATTCTGTTCTTCTTACCAAATAATGTAATTTGAATTCCTACATTATTCCTACCTTATTCTTTTCGCACCAAATTACAATTATTTTCCTTCTTCCAACCAAACACCCTGTCAGGGATGTGTGTTGACTTTCTCTACATGCGTTCCAAAGTGCTTTTTCATCTTTATATATCTTTTGTTCTTTTGTACATCATATAGCTAGAATACGGTAAATATACATATACAGTGGCAATACTTCTAACCATATATATAAACTCTTAGACAAATAATTCGACTTTGAAATTTGAAATCAATCAAAATCAGCGTTGTTATAATACATAATTAAAATACAGAATTAAGTTTTCGTGCGGTTGAGTATCTCCCGTGCGGTTGTGCGGTGATTAAGATGCGTAAGTTTTGTAATTAAGATACGTAAATCTTGTGCTTAAGGTACGTAAGTTTTATGTTTCAAGTGCGTGTGTGTACTTAATGGGAGTAGTTGTTGAAACTTAAGGTGCGTGAGTTTTGTGCTTAAGGTACGTGAGTTTGTGCTTAAAGTACGTGATTTGTGTTCTTAAGATGTTTTGTTTGTGTGATTAATGTACGTGTGTTGTGTACTTAAAGTGCGACAATTTAATGCTTAAGGTACGTACGTTCTTTCGCACAACCACACAGGAACTCCTCCCCGCACCTAATCCCTTCCCTTAAAATACATACCAACGCAATTCATGTTAGGCAATATATGCTTCAATTTTGAATAACAGTGAATGGACAATTATAACTATCTTGATGATGGCTATGACTGATTATATATTATGGAAAATATTACTCTTACTTTCAAATTTTACCCTCAACTTTTACATTATCTCACAAAATTTTGATGTTAACATTTTTATTAGGATCCACAAGATAAAGACAATTAATCATCAATTGACACATCAGAGAATAAAAATGAAAGAGTAGAAAACTAAAAATAGGGAGTACATATAGGAGAAATGGATTATTATTATAAAAGACGGCTATTAAAAAAGATTTTTTAATAAATTGTATACTTAAGATTTGCTTAAGCATCTGATAGTCACATGAAATCATGTTAATAGTAATCAAATTGATTACCTATTATTTGAATTTAATTACACTTTTTTTGTCACTTTTGGAAATTTTAATGAAAATTTTAAATTAGAGTTCAATTGCACTATTTACTAGACTTGAGATTGAGATTTATTTTAATTATTTTTTTCCCAAAACAAATTATACCATAATAATATATAAATACGTATTGCATAGTTGACTGGAAAGTTAGACGGCAGGACCAAATGTAATACAAATTACATAATTATAAATCTATTTAGAAAATTTTAATAGTCAATGACCAAATATAATTCATGTATAATAGTTAAGGAACCAAAAGTAAAATTTTCTCCTTTAATTATTACACTTTTTTTTATTTCTAATTTCTCTTATCCGCTGATTTTCAAATAAGGACTAAGTCATTAACTTGCCATGAATCATAAGTTCATAACTAATCCTGCTACAATTAGGGACAAAATACATTTTGGGAGTATCCTCTTATAATCATAAAGAACGAAACAGCTTCTAATCTCAACAATCAGAGTGGCGCAGCGGAAGCGTGGTGGGCCCATAACCCACAGGTCCCAGGATCGAAACCTGGCTCTGATATTGGGTAGCTTCCAACCACTTTTGCCAAGTTCTCTGGTTTTTACCTTTTCCTTTTAGATTGGCCTTTGTGCTCAAATCAAGTTCTCTGGTTTTTATCTTTACCTTTTTGAGGCAAAGGAGGTAGAAGAATCAAATCAGTAGTGGCATAGAATATATATAGTGTTTGAGTAGAGAAGGAGACAAAAGTGAAAGAGACCAAGAAGACAGAACTTAATATGCTTTATTATACTGAGTTGTGCCAAAACAATTACTGTAAATTGTTTCTATGTTAGTGAGTCCCTTTTTACTACATTGATGATGATGATTACATGCCTTTTACTATATATACAAATGAAACTGACAATTAATTAGCTTAAATGACCAATAATGCCCAATTCATCCTCAATCTTTTCGAAGAGTCTCAAGAACCTTGCTATCTTCCTTCTCTGCCAAAACTTGTATGAAGCTACCACACCAAGAACCAAAACCACCCAGACCAAAGTAGTGTAGTTGTTGGATGGTGAGGCCAGGGGAGTTCTTTAATCCCAACTTTCTTTAAATGCTCGCAATACTTAAGATTTTCAACCGACCAGATGGGTGGTTCTCTTTTAAATTTTTACATCCTAAAGTATAATCTCTTCAAAATTTGAGGATTCTAACAAAGAGTTGAAAGCCGGAAGATCCAAATCTGTAATATAATATTCTTCATGTCCTGTAAGAGAGAGGATTATGAATAAATCAAAATTATATATATTGGGAGTTTTTAGATGAAGAGAAAAAATGACTCTAACACAAAGTATTATATATATCCGCCGCCCAACTCTAGTAAATATGAAAAATATTTTTATTTGCTGCAACCCCAAAGATTGAGAGATGAAACTTGATGTTTTTGCATTTGCTTAAATTCAATACAACCAGCCAGATTTCTAAGATTTTCAATTGCTGAGCAGTATTTGGGACAAGATTTTCAATTGATGGATGAATCACTTTTAATTCTTCACATCTGGAAAGGTTAAAGGGTCTTCAAATTTGGTATTGTAGTAAAATTTGGGGTTTCTGACAAGGACCAAGAATTTCTTTAAGATACAAATATATCCTAAATATACACTTTCAAATATTAGAATTGTTTATAATTTCAATCTTTAATGTTATTATAATATTTGTTGTTATAATTTATATTTTTTGAAAGTTACTGGCTCTATTACATTGTAGTATCTGTTTATATACTTTCTCAACCTACTGAAACACAAAGAACCAATAACGCCTCTACTGAGGCTCGAACTCATAATCTTCCAAATGGAAGTCCAACCCGGGTACCATTGGACCACATAGTCCTGGTTGTTATAATTTATATAATTGTATATAAATCTAAATATTTTTAAAATATTATAACAAATATTTTATGCAACGCACATGTGTAAATACTAATTTATGAACTAAAAGTCTAAAATCATTATTTTTCAATAAATAAATAAATAAAAATGCAAGTGACGTTATCCAATGGAAACATATAAGAAAGCAGAAAATGCAAAATTTATTTTTGTGGTGCTCCATAACTGCTACTGTACTCTGTTCCTTCCATGGCCGCTTGTTCATATTCAACCCTCTCATGGTGCTCCGCATCTATTCCCAAATCATCCTCCACCTCTCCACCATCTTTGTCTCTATATCCCGTGAACGTTCGCGGGCTTACGGGAATTTCACTGTCCAGTAGTACAAGGCTCCAGGCCAAGTTTGAGAAGTTCCAAGGCCAAGAGAATCTTGAGCAGGACTTCACAGAGCCATCTTCTTTAGACTCACAATCACAGCCTAGCCCAGAAGAAGAAGAAGATGATGACAGGTGAATTTTCAAGGTTTATTTTTTTGTTTTACTTTACTTTTTAGCCCGTTTGGTAAAGCTTATATGACCATGAATAATTCCAAGTTACTTCTAAACTGTTAGTTTAAATAAGTTTAAAAGCATTGTATGATATAATATGAATGTTTTAAGCTTTACTAAGCATACATTATAACAGGCCGTTTGGTAAAAACTAGGGAATTAGGGGAAAATGAATTGTAATTTCGTGTGGATGGGAATAAATTAGGGATTCAAATTTCATTGTTTGGTAGGCAGGAATAGAATTACTGGGAAAATTTCAATTATAGTGTTTGGTATATATGCAAATAAGGGAATAAGCGAATTGAAAGGGAATAAGAATAAAGACCAAAATGTAGTTCAAACTCAACATAAAGTTCAAACTTAACAATATACTCAACCTTTGAGATTTCCTCTTCACCTTTATTATGTTTTGCAGTTTGTCTAAAGGTATCTCAGCTTCATAAGAATATTATTACTATCAAATTTTAGCAATGTGTAATTATATGTTTTTATATCTGTAGTTGCTTACCTAATGATTTGGAGGGGGCAGTTCGGCAGTCAGGCCAAGCTGGTGCGACTTTTGTGTCTTCTGGGGGAATGAGAGCCATAGTACGTTCAAGTTGTGAGTCTAATAAAGCTTATATAGCCAAGTTCTAACCATACTTTTTTCTTCCTCAGGTTGAGCTTCTAATACCTCAGTTGCAATTTCTTGATGACGAGGGTGCACAAGCCGAGCTTTGGGAACTATCAAGGATATTTTTGAATACATTAATCGAAGAAACAGGATGCCAGGTTACACATTATATTTTTCAAATAATAGTATCAGAAGCTAAACTTAACGGTACAAAATTCTTGATGAATGATATAAATTGTTCAACTAAACAATATGTCAGAAAGCAGATGTCACATAACTCTTCCTAATACCTAGTGCACAACTCAATCCATTTTAAGCCTTTTTTCTCATTTTCAATTGCCACTAGATAAGTTTAGGTTTAAGGGTTAGTTGTGTTAAGTTTTTAATCGCTAAGATCTGAATCTTCTGTTGTTAGAGAGTTAAAGCTATATTTCCGGATGCTGGTGCAGCTGCACTTTTGAAATATCAATGGAAAGATGCTGCTTTTGGTTTCTCGAGGTAACTTAATCGTACATTTTGAGTTATTTTGGTATCTTCTATGGCTATACATCTTGGTATGTTAGTTGTATCTTCTCGACTTTGGTATATGCGTTTTTTTAATTGTAATTATATACCATTTCTGCTTGTTATTGGCATATATTTTGATTGCTCTAGTCTTGGTGACCGGAAGCCAGTGGACAATGAAGATGAAATTGTTGTCATGGTCGTTCCTGATTATCAGATGCTGGAATACGTAGAAAGAATTGCCTCTAATCTCTCTGATGATCCGGTACATATTCGCCTTTTCTCTCTTTTTCTTGCTTTATTTTTACTACATTATATTTATTGGAGTATTGGACAGTTGAAGATTTACATTGCCACTTTTACTGTCAGCAACTTATCACCTGAAATCATTGTATAGTTGAGAGTTTCGTGGTTTATTTTTAAAAAATTCAATCACCAGTGAGCCAGTCTTAATGAAAAATATGTAAATGGTTTGTCGTTTCTGTATTCTGAAGTGACCATTCATTCATTATCGTTCTTAAAAATTTATGGTTGCTTTGTTAGCCTAGGCCTCTAATCATGTGGAATCCACGCCTTGTTAGTGAAGATGTCGGTGTTGGGATCAATGTGCGCAGATTAAGGCGCAACTTCTTAAGGTAACTTTTGAATAGCTTGACGGGAACATACAGTTTTAACGCACCACAGAACATACAGTATATATATATATACACTTCTTATCATATTGTACACATTATATTAGTAACTATATATCTTACTATTAACAACTGTCAAAATTGATAATAATGCAGCACTTTCTCAGTGGTTTACTCAATGAGACCTTTTCCATCAGGTGCTGTTTTTAGATGTTATCCCGGGTAAGGACTAAAACTATCTATCTTATTACAACAGGTTAGGTTTGCAAATTAATTGGCCCCTCTCCTGCGCTTTTGCTGAGTTCCACTTAACTAAATTTGCCAACTTATGGTTTCATTATCTGCGGGCATTGCATGGTTGTGCCTTGACATTATCTATTCAATTCCTTGATGTTGGGCGGAGGCCAGTAACAGGCCAAGTCTAGCAATTGGTGGCTAGGGGATTGTTGAGCAGAGGTCGATAAAGAGTCAAATCTAACACCTTGCCTCTCGAAAATGTGATGGCAGTCTGTCTTTAAGGAAATAAAGTTGCGCCTTCGCTACTAGCTATAGCTTTTGGTGTAGTGGTAAGCGCTTAATCCTAACAAGTGGTATGGACTGGCAAGTGCTGGAATGGGGAATTACTAGGCGGAGGCCGATAACGGGCCAAGTATAGCAATTGGTGGCTAAGGGATTGTTGGGCGGAGGCCGGTAAAGAGCCTAGTCTAGCACCTTGCCTCTCGAAAATGTGATGGCGGTCTGTCTATAAGAAAATAAAGTTGCACCTTCGCTACTAGCTATAGCTTTGGACATAGTGGTAAACGCTTGATCCTAACAAGTGGTATGGACTAGCACTGGGATGGGGAATTGTTGGGCGGAGGCCGGTAACGGGCCAAGCCCAGCAATTGGTGGCTAGAGGGTTGTTGGGCAGAGTCCGGTAAAGAGTCAAGTCCAACACCTTGCCTATCAAAAATGTGATGACAGTCTGTCTTTAAAGAAATAAAGTTGTGCATTCGCTACTAGCTGTAGCTTTGGGCGTAATGATAAAGGCTTGATCCTAACACTTAGATCTCTTTATTTGTATTATTGCCATAACCACCTATGTATGGTTTCTGTATGCATTAGAAGTGTTTATAATTAGTTTGAGAATGATGGGTATTTATTAATGAGGAGGCTTATTGTCACTCTCCCTCGCTCCCAACCAGATTGTGGAAGGTGTTCTATGATAATAAGGATCGGCTTGGCCGTTATCTCCTAGCCAAGGAGCAGATTAGCCGCCCCACTGCAGAAGAACTGGAGGTTAGTTGCTCTGATCCTTCACTTCTTTTGTGTAATTTGTACGATCTTGATCAAAGTTTGATGATACACGAACCACGTTATCGAGTATGGAGCGTACATGGGTTGCTCAATTGGTCACAGAAGTGAAATTTGTCACAAAAGACCAAGGATCGAGTCTCACCAGCAATAGTAGTGTAGGAACAACCTCTCAAAATGAGGAGGGCTCCATGTGCCCAATGAGCAAAAGTCTAGCCTATGTTGATCAGTTAAGTCACCATAATTTACCCCTCCACAATCCTGTCGAATCGGGGTACGGGAGCGTCTGAGATGAGTGATTTTACCTTTTGTCGCAAGTATCAAATGCATGCTCTATATGAACTTTTAATGCTCCATTGCATAGTATATCTGAGGAGTTTATGGCTTTTTGATTTGTTTTCTTGGGGGCAGATAATATTTGGAGAAGTAGATGAGAAGCAAGAGAAGGGAGCATCTCTGTTTGACCAAGCAGCTGGAATCTTCTCTTCCATCAATCGTTTCATGAAAGTAATTTCAAGATAATTAGTTGTTTCATCAAATCCTATTTCTTCTCTCTCTATATACAAGAGAGGCATACCTTTCAGGGCGTTTGGTTCACTGTAATTTCGTTTTAGTTGAAATGCAATTCAATGAATACCTCAATTACATTGTTTGGTGGGAGGGAATTGCAATTCCACATGAATTGAAATTCAATGAATTTGAGAAAGAAAAAACAAATGAAATGACACTACTACCCATAGTTGTTATTACTATTAGAGTTTTTACCCATTTTGATCCCTTGACAATGGCTCATTTTCAATTTTGCATTCCGACTTTTAATTGTACTCAATGTGGTCCCTTGACTTTTAAAAATTACTCCAATTTGGTTATCCGTTACCTTTTTCATCCATTAGGCGTTAAGTTGGGGGTATTTTAGTCCATTCATCTGCTTGACCCTAAGGAAATGGGTAATCATGTCTCGGTTTCGCCGGCGATCATCTCCTACTAGGTAGTGGAAGGCTCCCCGTTGATTGCTCTGCCGGCGGTTTATGCCTCGGCGCAAGAACTCGCCGACTCCAAATCAGGGCACGAGAAATGCCATCCTTAATGGGCTCGAGGTGTTTAAGATGAATAATTATGTGGGGAGCCTGGGCGGAGAATTCGGCGTCGATGGCACGAGATTGTCGGAGGGTAATAACAACAACTGTCAAACGGTGGTGACTGTCGGATTCGTCATGATGTTCGGTTCGTTCGTGGGGTTGGGGGCGATGGCCGTCTATTGGCGAAAGCGGTCGCAAGACTGGCAGATGAGGAGTAGTTTCTCGTCGTGGTTGCTTCCCGTCCATGCCAGAGACGCAACTTTCACGAACCCCAACAACAAGATTCTGTTAGGATCGTGGCAGAACAACCTGTTCTTCTCATCAACATCCGAATTCAGAAGGTATTTCTCTTTCTTGGAATTGTAGGAGGCTACCAACAACTGGGAGACGACCAAAATCATCGGCATCAGGGGCTTCGGCAGTGTGTATTTGGGTTTGGTGGACGAGAGCTTACGGGACCATCTTTACGGTAAGAATTTCTCGTCGCTTTCATGGAAACAACGCCTGGAAATCTGCATCAGATCAGCCAGGGGACTGCATTACCTGCAGATATTGGACTGGCATTAAGGACATCTTGCTCGATGGTTGAAAACCTAATTAATTAATTAATGTTTTCTAGTGTGCAAATGGGGTTTTCAAGGATTTTGGAGTCGGCGAGTGCAAATGGGGCTGTTTAAGATGACATCTTGCTCGACGAAAACTTGGTTGCGAAAATGGCGGATTTTGGGTTCTCCAAAAAAACATCCTCCGGGCCGGAGAAGACGCAGGTGAGCACCTCCGTGAATAGATCAAAATACCCCCAACTTAACGCCTAATTGATGGAAAAGGTAACAGAGGACCAAATTTGGGTAATTTTTAAAAGTCAAGAGGCCACATTGAGTGCAATTAAAAGTCGGAATGCAAGATTGAGAATGAGCCATAGTAAGGGACTAAAATGGGTAAAAACTCTTACTATTATTATTACACAATGATATTTTAGTCTTTATACCACTTCTTTTCTTCTCCAACTCCAAAATTCTATTTCTCCCTACCAAACAACGTAATTTGAATTCATACTTTATTCTCACCTTATTCTTTTCCCACCGAATTACAATTCATTTTCCCTTTAATTCCTTCCTTCCAACTAAACACCAAAATTGAAATGATAATTGGAACAAAATACTTGATAAGTAATCCGAATGGGTTTAAGATGAAGAAATTTCTTAGTTTGGTAATAAATAAAAAGAGCAAATTACACTTTTGGTCCTGTGACTATTGGGGGTGTGTTAATTTGAGTACGTGACTTTTAAAACTAACAATTTAGTCCTTTAACTATCATTTTTTTAGCAGATTTGGTCCTCCAGGCCAAATTTCCGGTAGAATTTGGCCGGAAAGACGTTCGAATTTTTAAATCAAACGCTATTTTTTTATAATTAAAAAGACCGAATTACCCCCACTAATATTTGATTTAAAAATTCGAATGTCTTTCCAGCCAAATTCCACCGGCAATTTGGTCAGGAAGACCAAATCTGCTAAAAAAATGATAGTTAAAGGACTAAATTGTTAATTTTAAAAGTCACGTACCCAAATTAACACACCCCTAATAGTCACAGGACCAAAAGTGTAATTTGCTCTAAATAAAAATATAATAATACATTTGTATGTATGTATGTATGCTTTGATGCGGTGCCTGGCTCCCTTGCGGACAAATCACAACTATAAGATAAGTTTCAAATTAATGGTTGAAAATCAATGAAGATGAAAAATAATGTGATAATAATTTTGTAATTTTTGTATCATATATATTTTGATGGTGTATTAAATGTTAATGTGTGATGTACTTATGAGTGCTTTGTGGTGTACTTAGTATTGCACCACTCAATTGAGAGTGTTAAACTCGTTGACGGGTTCAATAGACCTGTTAGTCTAACAGTACTACTCAACGGGTCTATTGAACCCATAACGTTTTTTCCTTTTACTTATACACTTGCATCAATTATTTGCACTTTTAATACATGTTACTTGCACCAAAGTTTGAGTTATTTAAAAAATATCACTGCGTCTTTTTTTTTTTTTTTTGAAGTTTTTCTATATATATATATATATATATATATATATATATATTCACACTTACATATGCATATATACATTAAAGTTCCATATTGAATACATGGACAATTAGTGTTAAGTATCGGTCTATAAAATTATAAATACTAATAAAATATAATACATGACCAAACATACTCAAGAACATTACTTAAAAATATAATTTTTTAATGATCATCAATATTTGACATCTTATTATCAATTTTTAATATTCATTACTCTTTCAAAGTCTAAAAAAGAAATTCAAATAAAGATATAAGCGGTATAGCCATGAGATAATATTCATGAAACAAGGCATTTAAAAAGAATGATTAATTATTGTATTTATTTATTAAAAAATCTAAACGTAAAAGGAGAAAACAACCCGAATTACGCACCATAAGATTTGTGTAGGTTTAAATTCAAACCGGCCCGGGTTCAAATGTAAGCCAAACCCTAAACCCTAATTTCTAAAACCTGATGGAGAGCTGTTAATAGACGGTGCCGCCCTTCGCCCCTTGGCACATTCATCTTTCAGCAGTTTAGCGTCGACGCAGCCAGGTATGAGTTTATCATCAGTTCAATACCCATAATTATCAATCTCTTTTTGAAGATGTGAAGGATGCTCATCTTCGAAAGCATGAAAGTTGAAACTGTTTTTGCTTCGAGGTCTAACTCCTTATTTTGTGTCGTTTTCATAGCTTGGAGCTATACCAGTATACCACTGTACTAGTATTTTCTTTTTATCTTGACTCTGCAAAATCACATGAAAAAGCACAGTCATACTTGGTCATTAGGTGCTCTCTGCCTTTGGCATACCCGTTTCATAATCTTCCAGATAGTTGGATTTGCATTTTCATTGGTTGTCAAAGTGTAGCACTTTTGGTGTTAAACTGGGGATAGTTCAACGAAAACAGAGAGAGTTTGCTCATATAAATGTTGCAATCTTTAATAATGATCAATTAACTCCACGAGTAAATAGGTTGCTAATCTGCTATGGTGTGTGTGTATTGTGCTTTAGTTTTGGTCATAATAATGGTGTGAATAATATCACCAAAAATAAAAACACAAAAATCTACAAGTAATAAAACATTGACAAAGGCTGCCAATAATGGCAAAAGAAATGGCTCTTACTCAATTTTCATCAGCTTTTGATTTTGTGAATTACATTGCAACTTTGGGGTGGGGGAAAAATCTTAGCCTGACATAGCTAGGCAATCCACATTCTCTCTTGCCAGAATATATGACCACCAAAATGTAGTATAATGTTTGAGCTATCTAATGTCCATTCTCTTGATGTGATTTAACTAAAATTGGAAATTCAGTGATGCAATTTTCATGTGTTGTACACTGTTTTAGGACTTGTTGCTCGCAGCGAAAAGAGGTGTATGCCTGAGAGTGAAAAGACAAACCCTATACCCTACTCAGATTTAGGTTTGTTTGCCTTGAAACCTCGGCAGGTCCTTCTCGCATTGCAGCAAAAGCAGCAGAGCTCATCAATGGCAAACCAACTCACTGATGAACGCAAGTCTCTCCTTCTCCACTCTGTCCTCCAGTATCTCCACCGCAACGGCTTCTCCAAAACCCTCAAGCGCTTTCTTAAGGAAGCTGAGATTAAGGTTTTCTTCTCTTGATTTTCTTTGATTTTTTTTGGTAAGCATTTGTAGGTGTGCAAAATATTGAAATGACAATCCCGTGATTGGATGGATGTTAATTTAGCAATACCATCATTTCTCTGGGTTATAGAAAATTTTAAAGTAGAAAATTAACTATATTATTATACTTTATTTTGCAAGCATTGGGTGTTTGGTTCAAAGGGATGTTTTGAGGTAATGTAACATTCATGGGAATCTCACATAATCTAAGAATGTGGAGGGAATTTGATTCCCATGAATGTTACGAAAAATGAATTAAAAACAATACTTGGGAATCTCACATTCCCTACAGTGATTTCATATTCCCTTGAACCAAACAAGGTATTGTGATATTACAATATTCACATTCTTGAGGTTATGTGAGATAACCTGAATCAAATGTTACCAAGAGCAAGTACAAGGTAGACATTTTTCTTTTGGTGTACGGTGTACCCTTACTATGCCATTCTGATACTTTCTGATAAATATGGCTTTACCATGGATATATACTCATTAAACAAATAAGGTGTTTTTGTTCTTGACTTCTTGTACTTAATTCATTATTATTGTCTATAGGACACAGTATTCTTCTTGAGATTAATTTAGACCTTTCTTCTATTGGTTTATCCAGGCTTACATTCATAGATCCTGTTTCTTGTGCAGGGTGATAGTTGGAAGTCTAGTTCATTTGATTTGGAGAATATGTATTGCAAATATCTGGACACTTGGTAAGTTGGGAAGTGTGATTGAATTTAGTGATGATATTTCAATCTTCATCTAAGTGGCATAATCAACTACAATCAACACTTCTGAACTAACTTTTGACTGATGAAACTAACCACAACTTTCCTTCGATAGTTGTAAGTTATGCATGGTTTGTTAAAATGTTAAATTAGCATGCTTGGAGGATGATGTTTGTAGTGGTAATGCAAATTGAAGGTGACCCAATTTCATAGAATTTCAAGGTCCTATAAAATGCTGCTTTTCAAGATTATAAAGTTAGAAAAACAAGAATAAGAAGAATGGCTATTACATTATTATATATCATAGGAATAAGGATTAATGATGATTTTGGAATAAGTTCAGCTACAGAATTGATGCTTCTTGGTAAAGGAAGAGCCTCTGATTTGTTGCATACAGGTGATACAGTCTATAATGCAATCCCTGCACTTTAGAGTTGGAATCCAATGTTGATCATAAATCATTTCCTCCCAATTTTACTGTCCCCATTTCCAATAATGAAGTTTGTTACATTTTAATCTTATTCTATAATAATACCTATATGAGATTTGAAGGAGAGTCCATAGTACAAAGATTTGTTAGGACCCTGTTTCCATGATTTTTTAGTTCTCAATCATACATTAATCTGAACTGAAGCTCCAACTGATAATATGCTACAGCCCCCTTGTCAGAAACATGTAAGTATGTAACCCCCCTGAAAATATCTGTATCACTCATGAAAATTCAGTTGCCACTTTCAAGACACTCTGTATCACCAGATGGTCACACAATCACGTGGTTTTATTACTAATGGTTCTTTCTTAATGGTTTGTTACATTCACTCTACTTCAGATGATTAATTGATTTTTTTTATTATTTTTTTTTGGTTTTTAAAATTTCAGTTCCTACTCTCATGCTTGTTGGTCTTTTATGATATGCAGGAATGATGCCAAATCAAATTTGAAAGGTCAGAAAGAACAAGGTAAGCTGTACAAATTGAATTCTCTCCTTCTCTCTAATATTTCTCGACCTTTTTATTTATTTATTTATTTATAATCTCCCAATCTGAATTTAATTTTTTAAATTGCAACATGGTGTAATTTTGTTGGTGGATGTGGATCTATTTGCTCTTACATTGAAGTGTATGTGCAGAGCAACATGAAGATGGAGCACAAGAGAGTAAGGAAGTCAATAACCATACTGGTTCTGGAGATACTATTACTATGAAAAAGAAGAAGAAGAGTAACAAGGATAAGGAGAAAACCATGACTGAAATTGTTGATGGGCACGCTAAACCTGCTCCAAAGGCAGATGGGAGCTTAACAGATCAAAAGCTCAATGAATCAAATGTCAAATCTAAAAGTAATAAAGGTGAAAAGGTATCTGCTTCTCTCAACCCTGTCGATCTAAAATCAGAGGCGACAAAAGAGGCTGTTCTTGGTTCAGTATGCAACTTACAGGCAGAGAGCACTGAGAAGGTGAAAGACAAGAAAAAGAAGAAGAAAAGTGCATTAACATCTGAATCATACGAAGGCAATGAAAACCAATTAGCTCAGGTGTCTGGAGGAAAACAAGAGACCTCAGAATGTTTGGCATATCAAAGTAATGATAGTAAAAATGTTGATGAGGGCAATGCTAAAAAGGAAAAAAAGAAAAAAAGCAAGTCTAGCAAACAGGATACTGATTCTTGTGCACAGAACTCTGTTGAAGAAAAACCAGTGATAGAAAATAATCATGGAAGTTTTGACACTATAGAAAATGGAGATACTCATTTTAAGGACTCTAAGAAAAGAAAAAGAATGGCTTCTGATGAAAATGCAAACCAGCAAGTTGAAGGAGAAGATATTGAAGAATCTAAACGAAGAAAGACTGAAGCTGTGGAAGAAGCAAATAATGGATTGGAAAACTCTGCACTGGAGAAGTCCAGGCAGAAACAACGCAATGATTCATCTGAGGTAAGCTTCTTCCATTTAAGGCCTTGGGATTTTCAACAATTATATTTTGGTGCAAGCTTGGCATCAGCAAAAGCTGATTGGATTAATACCAAATGACTTGCATTTACGTAAATAAATAACTGGTTAAAGTAATGAAAAATATTTAAAGTATTATCAATGTATAGATGCTATGCATTAATAGTGATGTATAATCGGCCACATCATCCTTATTTTTTATTCATTGGTTATTATGAATTAGCCAACTTCACAATAGTTTTCACAATTAACTTTACTCGTTAACAATGCACACTCAATGTATGTCCTTAAATTTCTTTAATGTGATCAGTTGAGCATAAAAACAACAATGGTTTTCACATTCCAGTTAGCCAAAATAAGCAGATGGTTACCTAATTCCGATACATATACTCTGTCTATTACACTTAAGTTTCCTCCCCCTCAAAAAATTGTGGCAAGAATTCTAGTAAGGCACAGTATCAAATCTTATATCAGTTTTCATTTGCCATAGAAGTTGAAATGCCAACTGTATTGACACAGCTTTCTTTGGTTTTTATTTTATTATTCATACATGGGTTTGTTTTCATGTTTGTCTCTCTCTTGGTTGCTGACCTCAAAGATGAAATTTTCCTAAGAAACATGCTATTTGTTTACTGCAGCCCAGAACCGTAAATGCTTTCCAAAGGGTTAAAGTGGATGAAGTGGAATTTGTTGATGACAGGCTTCGGGATAATTCTTATTGGGCAAAGGTCTGAATATGTGGTTTGATTCCATGTATCTATTCTATATATAATGTGAACAGTAGCGTTAATAATTGAGTATTTATGATTCATTTGCAGGGTGGTGCAGATTCTGGCTATGGTGCCAAAGCACAGGAAGTCTTGGGACAGGTCAAAGGAAGGTACGTCAAATCAGTCTTACATGTCCATCAAATAAGGAAAAATTGTGTTAATCATATTTGCTTTCATTCTGGACTATATGAGAGTACTGCCTAATAGCTTTAAAAGGGTCACCTGTTGTGTATAACTCTTGTTACATGTTGGGTTTGGGAGGAAGATGTACACAACTGTATTTACGTTTTCACTGGTGGCTTCACAAGCTTTAGTCTGGGATATATTTGTTGGGTTAAGAAACCATAATGTGAATGATTGAATGAATGGTCTATCCATTCTAAGTATGTTAGGACAAAAGAAAGGAATCTAAAACTTTACAATAAAATAGGAGTCCCCGGTTCTTCTTGATTCTTCAAGGGCATTTTGAATCATCAATGAAGTAGACCTATTGTGAAATTGAGGCTATGACTGAAGATATTACGGGGAGTAATTCTGATGCAGCAAGCCTGACTAATTTTGTGTATTTGTTCTCTTTGTAATAGATTTCCAAGTTTTTGCTAACTTTGGTTGCTGCAGGGGCTTCCGGCATGAAAAGACCAAGAAGAAGAGGGGTTCTTACAGGGGAGGCCAAATTGATCTACAATCTCATTCAATTAAGTTCAACTATTCTGATGAGGACTGAAAGGATTACATCCTTGGTTTCAAGATCAAATTCCCTTCATGCTTTTGAAGCTTTTAAGCCTTTATTGTACTTTATTCAGTAGAAGAAAAGAGTGCTTTATTGGAGGGGTCCGGGGATTTTTGGGGGCAGTAGGTGATTTGGCAGGCATCAATGATTAAGAACTTTAGTCTTACAGCATTATTAATTAATGTATTAATTATTAAAATACAAACTTTTTTCTAAAACCATTAAAATACAAACTTGTGAACCAAAATTTGTTTTGATTTATGCATGTTTTGGTAATATATGAACATTATGGTATGACGTTTAAGTATCACTTTACAATTTTTTGTGGAACTGATGTGTGATCATATCACTTGATGGTAATATATGAACATTTTAGTTTCAAATAAGAGCATCCTTGGTAACACTTCTGAAAATAGTACTAGATAAATATTGGTTTTGTTTAGTTTAATTTAGGTGAAAAGGTACTTGAAAGTAGGCTTGAGCATCGGACGGATATGCAATGTCGGATTTCGGATTGGTCGGATCAGATTGTTGGACTTAAGTCGGATTTGAAAAAGGTCATTAATAATAGAAAATTTAAAACTGAAACAAGTAATAACTAATAAGTAAACAAAATATTACATGCAATAACTTTTTAATGCACAGTTTGCACTTTGCAGAGCTAAATAATTTAAGTAAACCAAAAATACAAACTTAATCTAAGTTTAAGTTACAAATTCCAAAACATCAAAAATTCGAATCTAGGCCTTTTCAACAATCATTCAAATCAGCAAATCAGCTTACATCAATCACCATTTCTACACTTCTTCCTGTTCATATGAAAACTTAACACAGTATTAGATTATTAGACATTTAGACAACATATGTAGTAAACAGCTAACTAAGTAACAATAGTAGGCTCAGATTGCAATTTTCCATTTCAAGTAAGGATAGTGGCAAATTGCTCAAATGTGTTATAATAACACATGAGCAACATAGCAACACTATACCATTTTTTCAGACAGTGGTGGAAGCATCATCATTGCCAAAAAAAATAAGTAATAAATAATAATGCCTCAATAGAGATCAATTCAGATTTCAGAGGGTGAGAGGAATACCAGAGATCCAGAATGGATGTAATGGGAGTAAGGGATACCAGTACTGATTACTAAATACTGAATACTGCTCAACTCTAAGTGGGGTAACATTTCTATAATATAATTATAGAAAGTTTCCAAGCCACTCAGACTGTTAAGTAGTTGCATCTTGTGGAGGCCAACAGCAAACAACAGTACAACACCAGTAAAGATAAATAATTAGTTAAACAAATAATAATTATGGAAAACATTACAGGAATAGATGGCAGCATTGATGGTACAGTAGTTGCAGCTCCAGTGGGTAACTCTGCAAAACAGTTAAGTAAATATGTAATTAGTTCTAGACTATCAAGTTACAAAAGTAAAAAAGAAACTATTTTTTAATGGATATTTTTACCTTTCTCCAATCTTTCAACCTCATCTAAATTTTCCTCAAGTGTGATTGGCTGATTATGTAACCTCAACCAATCTTGGGTACACAGTAGGGCTTCCACAATTTTAGGAGTCAAGGAACTCCTAAATGCATCAAGCACCCTCCCACTTGTACTAAATGCACTCTCAGATGCAACTGTGGAAATAGGAACTGCAAGTACATCTCTAGCCATTTTGGAGAGAATAGGAAATCTCTCACTATGATTCTTCCACCACTTTAGAACATCAAAACTCACAAATTCATCATCCTCAACCAGATTTTCACTCAAGTAAATTTGTAGCTCTGTCTGCTTACTGCTTCCACCACCACTCTCCAGTCTCTTTTTTTTTTTTTTTAAGTTCACTCTTCATCCTTGAGACAGGCCTACCAACTGTACAAGTAGTAGGCTGAGACTGGACAGGTTGGTTAGAGGATGAACTGTCAGAGTATGTAGCTGCATAGTCATTATACAATGCAACCATTGAATTTTGGACCTTGGCAAAACATTCTTTGCCTTTGACCTCTCCATACAACTGGACAAACTGGTGAGGCATGTACTCCTCCTTATCTCTAGGGTCCAGAATATTGGCAAAGAAAATGATATGGTTCATTTTTTCTGGATCTCCCCAGTACTTATCAAACTTCTCTTTCATTTTTGTCCACATTGCCTAATAAATGCAGAAACTCAGAAAGCATAAGCATTTAAAAACACAAACAAGTAATCAACTTACAAGATATACAGAATTACACAAATAAATTGCACAAGTTTTTTACCTTTTCAGTTCTCTCAGCTTTAGTGATATCTTCCAGCATGCAACTGAGATTAGAGATCTCAGAGAAGAATGTGTTAGAAGTGACATAAAGAGAACCAGATATTCTCACTGTCATTTCATAAAAAGTTTTCAAAAGCTTCATTAAGCTTTCAACAGTCTCCCAATCAAGGAAAGAAGGTGCAGAACCCAAGTCAGCAGAAAAAGAAGGATCATTTTGATGATATGAGTCAAAGACACTTGATATTGAATTGCAGTGTTGAGCATAAGGTAGGTGCTGTTCCACCTTGTAGGGACATCAAGCTGCAAAGCTGATTTGGCTTCCACCCCAATGAGTTCAACAAGTTCTCTGAACTTATTCAACCTAGCAGGTGAGTTCCTAACCCATCTCACTGCATCCCTCACCCTTTTAACTGACTCATCTGCAAACCTCAAGCCATCTTGAACCACTAAGTTTAAGATATGGGCTATACACCTCATGTGCATATACTGCACCCTAACAGAAGAAGAACCCCAAGACAACAACTTGCTTTTAAAAAATTCCATAGCTGTATCATTAGAAGAAGCATTGTCCACTGTCACAGTGAACACATTTTTAATCCCCCACTCCAACAGACAACTCTCTAAGGCTTTGGCAATATACTCCCCCCTATGAGAAGAAACAGGGACAAAGGAAATTATTTTTTTCTGAAGCCTCCACTGGTCATCAATAAAATGTGCAGTAATGCACATATAATTAATCCTTTGGACAGAAGTCCAAGTATCAGTGGTTAAACTGACCCTTTGGGTGCCCACCCTAAACAACTTCTTAAGACTCAACCTCTCATCTAGGAAAATTTGGTAGATATCCCTAGAAATAGTCCACCTAGAAGGAATCTGAAACCTAGGACAAGCTACAAGAATAAACTTCTTGAACCCCTGACCCTCAACAAACCTAAAAGGGAGTTCATCTATTATGATCATCTCACATAATGCCTTTCTAATGGCTTCTTGATTAAAGACCCAAGTCCCCAAAACCCCCACAGGAGACTCTGTTGCAGAAGTTGAAACAGTATTGAATGTGAGAAGGGACTGCCTCATATCCTTTGAAACAGGATTTTTAAGGCATGCCAGCATATGATTTTTCAAAGATGATGTGCCATGTTTCTTAGACTCACAGAAAAACTCTTTCAGGCAGTAAATGCACTTGCCTTTAACCACTATATTTTCAGAGTTTTTGATCTTTTCAAAGTGATCACGGACTGGAGATCTAGACTCAACCACCCTCCTCTTTTTTGCAGGAACAGCAGGAGCAACCTGAGGCTGCTGAGCAGGATTCTCAGTGCCTTGGGCTTGTCCTCCATGTCCCTCTTGAGTTGAGGGTTGAGGTCCAGAGAACATTGATGCTTTCCATCTAAAATGATGGGCATCAATTACTCAGCAAAGGCAACAAGCCAACAATCACATAAACATACAAAGAAATCAGGATTCAGACACTTTTTGTGTCATCATTTATCAAGATTTCACATTTACATATTTACATTCAAATATTCAATTAAAGGTAATACATCCATAAACATACTCAAATAATGAAAGAAATCCAGATTCAGGAATTGTATCCAATTCATCATTATCTGGATTTCAATTAATGGCTTCCACCAATAAATGGAAATTTCAAATTTGAAACTTGATAATTTCACATTCAAGCCTTTAACTTTTATTTCAATATTTAATGGCTTCCACCAATAAATGCAATCTGGAACTTCTCAAGTATCAACAATATCACAATATCACAGTCCACACAAATCACAAGTACAAAATTAGAGACAAGTGAGATGCAATCTGGAACTTTTCAACAGATCACAATATCACAGTCCACACAAATCACAAGTACAAAATTATAGACAAGTGAGATGCAATATGGAACTTCTCAACAGATTACAATATCACAGTCCACACAAATCACAAGTACAAAACTAGGGTTTGGGCTTCCACCATAATAGATCACAAAATAGAACACAACATATAGCATAATCTAACAAAAATATACGAGCATATGAACATACAGAGAGAAAAGAATCAACAGATCACAAAAACAAAAACTAGGGTTTCTGCTTCCACCATAATAGATCAGAAAATAGAACACAACATAGCATAATCTAACACAAATATACGAGCATATGAACATACAGAGAGAAAAGAATCAACAGATCACAAAAACAAAAACTAGGGTTTCTGCTTTACTTGGTTTTCCCTTAATATTCTCCGGAGAACAAGGGCCTCTAATCACCAGTCCACGTTCCACCACCAACTCGAGAAGGGCTTCCACCAGTCCACCACCGCCCACCGGACAATCGGACAGTCGAAGACTCCACAGTCCACAGAGACTCAGAGTCTCAGACAGTCAGACTCTCAGTCTCAGAGAGTAGAGACTAGAGAGAAGTGAGACTGTGAGAGACTCAGAGGAATGAGAGGATGAGATTGAGAGGAGTAGAGAGCAGAGAACGAGAGAAGAGATCTAAGAGTGAGAGAGTCTCAGAGAAGAGTAGGGCTGCGCATCTGGCTTCACAAGAGCTTCAACATACATATATACTCACCTCATACGACGTCGTCTAGCATACACATAAAACCTAACCCTAGGATACTTCGGATTATCGGACGGGTCGGATGGGAAAAAATCAAACCCTATCCAACCTTCTTTATCCGACGTCGTTTAGGGCTTCGGATCGGATATGGCTAATCGGACCACGGCCGGGTCGGATGTGTTGGTTTCGGACTTCGGATCGGACGGGTACGTCGGGTTTGCACAGCCAAAGTTGGTAAATTAAAAATTAGAAATATTTGGTAGGGAAAATGGCACTTTTTCCACCTGAGTTATATACTTATAGCACTTTTTCCCCCTCAATTATTTAGGTAAGCATATTAGCCCCTTCAATTATTCTAAAAGTGGTTGTTTTTCCACCTA